GAGAGAGAGAGAGGTAAATTTAACTTTATATTATTTTGCCATTCCAGTCACTCCTTTTGTGTATCAGTATTGTCTGCATATTATGTTTTGGAGGAAATTTTCTTGCTTTTGTGAGGCTGCTGATGTTTATATCTTCCTGTTTCCACCAAACATGTGAGTGTAACCTGTGGTAGATTGAAGCTATAGTTGTGCTTTATCAAGCCAATGCTTGCTTATAGTTCTCTGTAGTTTTACTATTCCATATTATTATATTTTTAATTGCTGTTCTATCTTTCCCTTATGTAGATATATCAGAACTTTAAAGGTACAGTGAGCTACTTTTTTGAAGAATTGAGTGGAGATCATACTCAATCAGAGGTTTCTTCACATGCAATTGGTGGATACATTGGTTCCCAAATCCCACCTGGGTGTCCTGGCCCTAGTCAGCTCAATCCGAGCACTCGCTCGTTTAAGATCGTCACAGAGTGCCCATTGATTGTGATGTTTCTTTTCCAGCTCTATGGCCGTTATGTACAGACTAACATCCCTGTTCTATTACCTCTAATGGTCAGTGCTATATCTATTCCTGGCCCACAAAATGTTTCTCCCAACTGGAGGAACCACTTTGTGGATTTGAAGGGTGCTCAGGTTAAGGTATGTAGTTTGAAATTTTGAATTACGGCTTCATTGTTTGGATATGTGTTTCTATATTTTTTGCCTAGAGCTACCTTTCTTTATGATACTTTAACCAAAAATTCACCCTTAAGCCACAGCATTTTCAGTCACTCATAAAGGAGTAAACTGTAAATCCTTCAATGTTTTTCCTAGAAAAGATTTATTGCTCTCTCATGTTAATCTTAGTGCCACTATCTGAGGTTAAGATGGCCTGGAACTTTCAGATTTTATTTTGGCAGCTTTAACTGCAAACATTGCTGCCTTGTTCATCATCTTGTTTTGGGAAGCTGAGATATCGCATAACAATTTTCTGATGTCCTTTTTGCAGACGGTTTCATTTCTGACATATCTGCTGAGAAGTTTTGCTGAGTATATCAGGCCTCATGAAGAGAGTATATCAAAAAGCATCGTAAATTTGCTTGTTACCTGTCCAGACTCTGTATCTATTCGTAAGGTAAAACCTATTGTGACTTTTGTGCTTGTTATCCTTACTTGGGGTCAATGTTAAATCATTGTGTTCAATATATTAAGAAACAACTAGTGGTTCTGTTCTGTTCTGACGCCTTTTTTGATGAAGGAATTGTTGGTGGCCACGAGGCATGTTCTTTCTACGGATTTCAGGAGAGGTTTATATCCATTGATTGATACGTTATTGGAGGAGAGGTAATTTTGAGCATAATGCGTTTTGCTTGATTTGGTGCATGCGTCTTATGTTATCTAATTACAGTGAGTATTATTGAGCTGTTATAACACTTCTTCTATTTTAGTCTTGTTCAATTATGCTGTTCTTACATTTAGCATTAGAAATTCACCCAAAAAAACATTTAGCATTGGAAGGGTGCAGACTTGGCTACTCATTGGTTTTAAATTATCTATCCACTATTTTTCCTCTCAAAACATGTGTGGCAATACAGTTCTGGCTACAAAAAGTGAGAGGCGCCCTTAAAAGAAATTTTTACCTTTTGCAAAGTAAAAAACTGTGATGCCTGCTGTGCCGTATCTTTTGTTAATCAGAAATGTAATCTATATCATCATACTAGTATAGCTTGAACTACAATAGCATCTGGACTTTAAGTACTTTGATTTTTTTTTTTTAAAGCTTTATTCTTTGACAATCCAACATGGCAGATTCTTCCTCAGTACAATGCTCTAACTTCCACAAGGTCTTCCATCATATGATTTGACATCATCATCATCGGTGTGAGAGATGATCTTGTAAATCATTATTTATTATGCCTTAAATGTGCCACATCATTCTTTTGCCAGCCTGTTTTTAGAATCCCTGATGGATGCCCCAATGTACAATAGATACATTATCTTGATGATATATCTTGACGTGGAATACACACTATCGAAATGTTTTTCTTTGGTCATATTGCATTGAACACTGCCATCCGAGATTAAGAAAGTATAATTCTCTAGAAGTGAAACCCCTTGCAATTTTTCTCTAAGCCTACCTAGATAAGTGAATAAAAAATTGGCTGCTTTGAAAACATGGTGCACCCTGGTACCCTTGAATCACCAATAGTACTCAGTTTCCCTGAAATTGTTGTACACCACTCATGCAATCTTCGCTCTTTATTGACTTCATCTCATGTATTAAGAGAATTCACCTCGGTTGAATTACTTCTTTTACTAGCTACCAACCAGCTGGGCTGCACCTATGCCCATGACGAATTGAGTACTCCCAGCAGACAAACTCAGCATTTGATGATCTCTTCATGGCCCTTTGAAACCCTTTTAATGGTTGTGAGAGCAATTGAAGTACATATTGCTGAATCCATATAGATCAATTGAACCATTCCACTGTAAATAACCAAAGGAAAAAAAATTGACCGTTTTTGTAGCAGCAAGGAAATGATCTTTGCCCATTTTTGTTATAGTTGTTTAGCTATGGATGTGAATTGAACCGAAGATGACCATTTAGATTTGAGCAAACTTGACCCATTCAGGACTGTATTTTTTTTGTGATAGAGAATCAGATGGATAGGTTATGGAAATCCGGATTAGTGCTGTAAATTCTGTGGGGGATTATGGCTTGGCACTTTTGTGATTCACTAATTGATAGCTACAATTAAGTTTTTTGACAACAAATATAATCAGATTTTTGAGTTTTTCTATTTTTAATAAAGTTTTGTTAAGTTTCTAGCTGGATGTATATAGAAAAATTGAAAAATTGCTTAGTGACAGACTTATGAGGAGACTGGAGCCAGTGACTATGAGGCTTGAAGTGAAAGGAAATGGTGGTGAATTGACTGATGGGGAGTCTAATGGAATTGATGACAACTCCTCAAGCTATTTAAATTATTGTTTGTTAAAAATTTGAGAATTTGTAATAAATTTGCACTCCTCTAGGAAGGAAGTAAATCCTTTCTAGGTGCTCAGTTTTAATCTTGAGAGCCTCTGAAATGGAAACATACCAGTTCAGGGTGTTCTCACTCTTTAATGTGTTAACTCTAAGGATCATTCTGTTGCTATTCTGAAGTTATGTGATTGTCATGTTCGAAATCATGATTTCCGTTAACCATTGGACCTAAGTTGTCCAATATGGTTATGGATGTAGGCACAGATATGGAAAGCTGGGATACCAACTATTTCAAAGCCTGGATTAGGTGTAGATATGAGTATACTATGAGTATCCTATCTCACACATTGATAGATGCATATTGTAGCTTTTATAATATATAAATAAAAGCATCCAACACATTTAAATGCACGCCATGCACGCGCACAATCTCATGTTTGTATGCTGACGTGCTGACAGAATAATATATGCCAATCACCCTAATTTAATCTTGGCCGATGGATGTCCACAAATTGTTTTCATTTTTCATTTTTTTATATTTTTTAAAATGTTTTTTTACATGAAATATGGGCCGTCTTTACATCAAAATACGGCACACTAAATAAAAATAATAAAAAATAATTCAAATAAAAAATTGACCAAACTACCCTTGAATTTGGTCAATGTTTTAGTTGAATTATTTTATTTTTATTTTTATTTTTATTGGTTGCACCATGATTTGATTTAAGGATGCCCCAATTTATTTATTTTTTGTTGAGAAAGCTAACTTGTATTGATTTTAAAGGAGTACAAAAAATTCACCCCTAAAAGGGTGCCCAATACATCAATTCAGGATATCAAGCAAAAAAATATGGGCTGGTGACAATGAAGGCCGTATGTATACACAAAACAATTACAAAGGTTGAACTGCATCCAAAATACTGCAGAAATGAGGAGTGCCTGGCTGGGGAGATCCCTTATAAGTTTAGAGATGCTTCTGTTCTTGCTAGATGGTCGGCTTCAGAGTTAGCTTCCCTCCATGTGTGTTTCCAATAGACATTCAGATTACTGCTAAGGTGGTGGATTTGGTAAAAAATACGGACATGTTGAAGAGTTTGTCGCCCATGAGATAACATTGCTTGAGTCACCTTCAATGACCAAATTTGGCCCCCAGTCATGGTTAAACAGCTTGAGGCCCTCTAGAAGAGCAAGTGATTCAGCTGTGGTGGAGTCAGCTATGCTAATTGGGGAGGAATAGGAGAAAAGAGTTTTGCCTAAAAAGTTCATAAGTTCATGAGAAGTCCTCCTATGCCTGCTGGGCCTGGGTTGCTGAGAGAGCTGCTGTCAACATTCAATTTGGACTGCCCTATCTCAGGCGGCCTCCATAGAGATGCCCTTGTGATTCTAGATGGCCTCAGGTGGAGCATGTCATTCCAATTTTGAATCGGCCGAGGTGAAGGGTCTGAAAGGGCCGTGGTTAGAGGCCCAGAAGATGAAGAAAGAAAGAATGCGATTGCTCATGTCAGTTGGATTGGATCTGGTGCCTCGGAAATTCGGTGGTTCCTTTCTGTTCAAATGACCCACAGGGTAGCAGCAACCAAAGCTTTCCACAGGAGGATCCCTGAATTCGACCAATGGTGGAGATGGAGAGAGGTGAAAATGTGGATACCGAGGGAGGGGTCACCCACTTCCAATGAAATATTCTTAGGATGAATCCCCACAGTTCCTGTGCCATGGCATAATGTAGGGAGAGGTGATCATTGGATTCCTCCTCCTCCTGGCACACTATGCATCGGTTGGGGAGAGGGATGCCTCTTCGCTGAAGTTGGTATAAGGTTAGAGAGCTCTGCAGGCGATGGCTATCCATCAGAAAACCTGAATTTTGGGGGGGATGAAAGATTGCTAAGCTTTGGAGCAAGCAGATTGGGCACCAGCAGGAAGAGGCTTCATAGCCAAAAATACACTGTAGAGAGATGCCACTATAAATTGGCCACTATGGTTAGGGGACCACAGCGAACAGTCACTGCCTAAAGAAGGTAAAGGAGAGGAGTGGATGAGGTGCCGAGCCCCTTCACGTTTTGGTCGGCAGATTCTATCCCATGAAACCGAGTGTATCTTTTTTATCCCTCCCTAGCCTGACCAAAGAAAATTCTTCATCAGTTGTTCTAGACAAGTGGCTACCGAAGAAGGCATGTGGAACATCGACATTTGGAAGATCGGAACATTGGAGAGCGTGGCTTTGATCAAAGTGACTTTTCCGCCAAATGAGAGGAACGTTCCTTTCCACCCAGCCAGCCTCCTATCAAATTTGTCTATGATATGGCTCCAGTGGCGCTTTTTGGGCTTTCCCAGGCATAGAAGTAGACCTAGGTACGTGGAGGGGAGGTTTTCTACCTAGCAAACCCACTTCTCAGCCAGGTAATGGATGGTTTGACCATCAGTGCGGGCCCCCATCGTCTCAGTGTTAGATATATTACTTCGGAAGCCAGTCGGCTACTGGATTTGAAGCTTATTATTCATCCTCTATCATAAAGTCTAGCTACCGATCTGCTGAAAACTTCTGCCACTATAGCAAAGAGAAAGGGGGGGGAGAGGGTCTCCTTGCCTCAATCCTCTGGAGGATTTGAAGTAGCCAGCCGGTGAGCCATTGATCAAGATCAAGAACATGGGGCTGGATATGCAGTCATGAACCCAAACCGTCCACTTAATCTCGAAACCCATTCTATGGAGGGTCTCCTCGAGAATGGCCCAATCAATATGGTCATAGGCCTTTTCCCAGTCGAGTTTGACAAATAAATTTCTTGAGTGGATGCATTCATGGGCGATGAGTGCCCCATCAAGAGTCTCTCTGTCCTTCACGAAGCCCCTTGGTTTTGGGTGAGGACCCATCCCAAAACTTCACCTTGGAGAGGATTTTGTAAGAGCTATTGATGAGGCTAATTGGGCGGAAGTCTTTGAGTTCTTCGTGCCCCTCGACTTTGGGAATCAAGTAAATGAAAGTGGCATTCATGCCATTATGCATAATGCCCCTTGTAGGGAATTCATAAAAAATGGCTAGGATATCTGGTTTGAGGATCTCCCAGAAGGTTTTGAAGAGCACAATTGGGACCCCGTCGGGTCCCAGGGCCCTGTCCTGGGCTAAAAGCATTGATGGCCGAGAGGATTC